TTCCGATAACGTTCGGCTGCGGCGAAAAAAGCGCGCCACGGGCTAAAAGCACAAATAAAATAAAAGACAAAGTGCGCCGGCAGCGGTGGTGGCAGCGCGATGGGTCCGCTTTATTTGCATGAAAACACGATTTTTTATACACTCGGCCCTTCTCGCTGCTCGAAGGAAAACGAACAGAAACTTCCTACAACGGTGCGCGTTTGAAAATGGCCAATTGCAGTCTAATCCTGGACGCATAGCAAAGATTACATAATTTTAAAAACTTTAACTTTCCTGATGATACTATTTTATTCAAACAAGAAAAATTTAAAAATAAATAAATAATGTACTTCTTTACGTGTGATACGTACTAAACCTACTAAAAACGTTTCCGGATCAGGACATAAATCATTATCGCATAAACACTTGTTGATAAGATGCGTAAACTTTCCGCATGCGTTCGGCACGGCACTAAATTCTCTGCGCGTCCTGCAGCTCAAACTCCCGCTTGGCAGTTGGCACGCACGCTGCCGAATTATGTATGCGATATACTCGCCCTTTCGTTCGCCCTTAAACCTCCCTCGCCATACACCGCGCGCGCCGCAATCTCCAATGACCTATTAATGTCTTTTTCGTTTCCTGATGCGTCGAAGCGTTCCGCGTTCAACATTTATTTATTATTTATCGCCGCCGTAGATTATATCTGGGGTCGTAATATCACTTCCCAGTTTGATAGAGAATACCATTGATGTTTTTATCAATTACATGGCTTGAGTGTGTTATCAACTCCAACAAGTCTTTTCAAAACAGAGTCACACTAAACTGTAATGTTGCCGTAATACTTATAATGGTAATGGTAATCCGCCGCCAGCTTTTAATGCATTCTAATGTGAGCGAGTCATGTTTGAAGTACGTGTGGTTTTCGAATGGGAATGCAAACATGCCGCGACGCGCTGCGCTCCGAGAGTGGAACATTAGAAGTGGAACTTATCAGATAACAGAAGTAGATGCTGCGTTCCACAGCGTGCCCGAGAAGAGGAGAACTGGAATGTTGGGTCTGGTGAGAAATTCGAGCTAGTTCAAGTTGAATTCAGAGTGCAACAGTGAAGAAACACAAAATTATAGCAATTTGTAAGTTTTTCTAACAGATTCAAGAATATTTCCAATGGTTTCATCAATATAACACAAGGTTTCTTTCATTTCCTGTCGTAGTTAAATAATTTAATAGCTATCCAATGCGTTTGCGTTTTTGTTGACTGAGAATATTAAATAATTAAACGGCACATAATTGGCAAGTTGCTTCTGCGCCTCTTCAAAGCAATAGTTTGGCGGAAGGATGGTTAGCCGGACGGGATGCTAAACAGCGGGAATTAAATCAGATCGTGCGGGTGCCGCAAAACCGTAACCCTTTTACGCCGCCGTCCTCGAAAACCGAAAACTAATGCCCGAAGCGGTCTCGAAAAGAGCATCCAAAAGTTGCGCCATACTACACTACCATCCGTCTATCTTCTATCTTGCGATTGATAGCAAGTTGGTGCTCCTGTTGACGCAGGACGCTGAACGTGAAGGCGTCGAAAACGTGCATTAATGCGGCTTCTTCTTCGTTTGCTTATAGACAGCCGCCGCAGCGAAACCGAAATGGATTTAATTAAACATTAATTAAACGAACGCAAACGAAGGCGTAGGCTCGGCAACGAGAAGAACCGAATGAAACAAAAACACATCTACACACATACCACATGCCACATTCGCAGTTACCGCAGGAAAGCGCGAAAAGGAAGAAGACACTCCTCAATGTTTGATAACATTCGTTTACCAGGAGTTACTTGTTAGCGTTTAGCGACATTTATTTTATGACATCTCGGATGATTTCATTAGTTATGGATCTATTTTTACCTTTATGACTTCATTCTCCTCCGCGTTGAGTATTAATTAGAAAATAATCCCAAATTCAGGTAGAAACCGCCTCCAACGAACTTTTAGAAACACATACTAATAATTTTTATTATTTAAAAACAATATCACATATTTATGTTCGAAATTGGGAATTAAGCACGTTTTGTGAACAAAGTTTTTATTTATTTTATTGTATGCTTTATCGTGAAGAGATACCACACAATCGCACATGCACACACACCTGCACAGCGGAGAGTCGGTTTTTACAGTTTTGGTACGGAATGAATAAACATCCGCACGCGGTTACGGCCCGCTGGCGGCAGGCGAGACACAGGTCGACCGAACGCAAACATGCGCGACGACACCGCGGACGTCCTGCACGAAACTGGTTCCTCGGGCTTGCGAGCGAGTCGGCGTACGCTGCCTCGGCTGGCTCGTATTTGTCTCCCAAACAGCGCGCTTGCTGGAGCTGCGCGGCCTCGCCTCTTCGCAGGCCTGCTCAGCGCGCGCGCCGCTTGCGTGCAACGCCGGTCACAGTGTTTTCCTGCTGCTGTACTCGCGGTGTGCTCACTGCAAAGTGTACCAAGGCGAGAGCACCGAATATACCAATGAACCATCGTCATTAACCCTACAATACCAGGTTTTTCTTTAACATATATTATATATTGTTTAAATTTGAATAAAGTTAATAAATGTACAAAACGTACCGCATGTGTGTGGGTGCGTAATACAGGTTTCTGTAAATTAACCTAACTTTTATATTTGACATCTCCACGCGTCATCTATGTAAATTTAGCGAAAGTAAAAAAATATTTTGAAAGGTTAGATTTAAATTGTGATTATATATTCTAGGGTTAATACCTACCTATCGCAGCAAAGAAAGTAATGGAGCAATGTGCGTACAGAGAGCGTGTGGTACAAACATGCGGCACGACCGAACATTACACGCGGCGGCGGCGACGGCAGCCGGCAAAGGAAGAAAACGCAAAGAGCAAGCCGACGTCTCGGCGCAAGGAAATAAACTAGAAATAAACGTATAAAGAGTCATAAAACAGCCTTATATACGTCTGCGGATCTCCGCAGCGAGCACGAAGGCCTGCAAGCGGGACAAGCACACAAAGCCTACCAGACATTATACTAACATCCAAGTTCTAAGGTTTCTAACTGTGCGTTTGAAATGATGGAAACCTGCATTACTTTCAACTTCTACACGCTCACTTGTTGATAAAAATAAAGCAAAAAACAAAACGAAAATAATTCGAATGAAGTTTATGAAGATGCCCTCTGGGCGAAACATGTTAAACTCAACAAAAAAAAAACCTGTAAATCCAAAAATCACGTTGTAATTTTAATCAATAAATATTCTTATATTTATAAAAATAAACATGGATTACGTATTCACCAAAGAAAGTAATAAATTCGAATGAACTTATTCTTCGTTTTATTTGATTTAAATATATTTAAAAATCGAATACAAATTGATGCTAATTATTAGCAACTTTTGTTGAATATTGCCATTTGAATTTAAATTGGTATGCCGTACTATTTCCGCACGAGTTTAATTACGCCACTTGGTGTTATCACGGTGTTGAACGAAAATATTAACCCGTGTGCGCAGCGTACGCATTATTCATAATTAAAAGCTCGTTTCGACGCCCGTGAACTATTCCGAATCGGCGAAATATTTGCTCGATGCATAATTAAAGTAGAGCTAAACATTTTACAAATATAAAGCAAACTATTAAACTGCGTACATGAGCCTGCAATTGGCTGCAATTTTATTTATTAGTGTTACTTTTATTTCTACATTTCCTACGCTATTCAGCAAACGGTGTCGCTGAATTTAATCGCGTACTTTTTTAATTAAACTCTCCGTTTTAATTGTTTGCATGTTTTGTTGCATTAATTCGCCGTATTCATTGTTAATTACATTCGTTAAGCTTGTTACATCGGTGTGATAAGTATAGAATTTCTTCATTTTTATTTAAATACGCAACTTTTTAGGTTGGTGAAATGTGAATGGAATTATAAATAATTACTTAGATTGTAATAAAAATTATTTTCACATTGCTGTGGAGTTTTGCATGTTCAGCGACATATTTCCCCCACACGTGCGATCGCTTATCATTTCACTTATGACTTTCGAGCCGGACATTTCGTAACGTTGGTAAAACATTATATAAAGTGACAAAGGCACCGCAGAGTTTGTTTTATCATTTGGTTGAGTACAATTGTTGAATGTATGTGCGGGTTGTATATATATTTTTTTCAGTGTCGGTTGATAACGGTCAGCGACATGAAAGTTACAAGCGATACACGTGCATGTCCTTTGTGTGCTTACTTCAGCGAAAGCTGTACGCACGCGTTTTATCAATTATTTATTACCTTTTTGTTTAATTGGTCGTGATATTTTTTTCGCGGCCATTTATCTTCGTCTAATCTGTGTGTCATTAACATTTAAGCTTATTATGCGTGACATTATGAGATTATTTGATGAAAGGTCATTATCGTAAAGATGCCTTCAGTCAAACTCCCCGGAGAGGGTTGCAAGAGTGCATTTTTCACTATCACTATCACTATCTTTCCATTAGTGGGGTAAACTGTGCATTTGGCTTCACTATTGTCTACTCACCCTTTCGAGCGATGAATCAGGCAAAAATCGAATAAAATGTAAGGACAAACTTCTTCGGCAGACTTCGCCGGCTGGAATCGAAGAACAACAGGCAGAAATAAAAAGAAAAACAAGGAAAAGCCGTGTAAAGCCATTTAAGAAGGCATGTTCGTTCGTCCTGGCTGCCGCCTGCCGCTCTGATTGATCACTTTCGTACTCGACGCGGACACGAACAACGCGAAAACGCAGGAATCGAAATTAGACGTTCGTCCTGCACCGCGACCGCCAGAGTTCACAGGACCTGCTCTCATTCACGGCTATTTACTATAACAGGAAGCCGAGACTTTCGGGACAAAAAAGACAAACAAAATGCTCATTCGTCTTGCTTGCCAGTTTAGGCAAAAAGTTTCTAATGCCAAAAGCTCACGCCTGGATAAAACGCTAGTGAAAACGTCGCAAAAATCCGTATAGAAAAAAGAAAATTCTGCAAGTAACTGAAAAGAAAGTAATTGAATTATTTGAAAAAAATATATTTAGAGGTTATATGTAAAAGTGTTAGAACTAGTTAAAACTTAGAATTAATTAATATTAGTGTAATTAAATTAGTTAAAGATCTAAACTTAGTTGTCGATCATGCTCGATGAAGAAATACTTTTTGATTAATGGCTTCTGCGCGACCGTTTCCGAAATCGACGCTATCAGATGAATAGTCAGGTACAAACATAATAAAAGATACAAAGTACCACCAATAGCAACTCCAACAAGAGGTCCTGCTGATAATTCTAATTCCGTAATAGTTGACGATACGAAATATATGTTAATTCCAATGATCACAATTGCCAATAGCAATGTAACAATTTTAATCACGCTGAAATTAAAAATAGTTTAGAACAATATTTCTAAAAATATTTAGAAAATAAGTAAACTTACATTCCATTAACAAATTCACCCATAATATTTTTATTGCTCGTGAATGCTATTGTTGGAATAACTGCAAAGGGCAGTTGTAAGCTCATGACAGCATTAAGCACGTCATTCATTCCTGTTAGATCCTCGATGTCACTGAAGAATGCAGTGCAAAATGTCGGAATGATCGCGATGGTCCTTGTGAAAAGAACTCGCTTCCACCTGGCCCATTTTAGATTCAGAAAACCTTCCATCGCGAACTGCCCGGCGTAGGTTCCAGTCATGGTAGAGCTTTGTCCAGCTGCGAGAATACCGATCGCCCAGATGTACAAAGATGCAGCTCCGAATGTACATCCCAAGAATATTCCACCTTTATAAAGGTCAGCTTCTACGAATTTATCGTTTGCCTATATAAATCAAAAATATATTATACAAAAATTGGATATTTAAAAATTTTAAATTTGTAATATTTACCGGAAATACATCTGATGCGTCAATATCATTCTTATCACATTGTTCTAATAACTGATTATTAGTAGTTTGATACAATCCGTAACCGAAAACAGTGACAACAAAAACAATTTGTTGAATTTGAACTTCGGCGCCTTCGAATCGAGGCTTAATTTCGCAGTCACGTTTTTAAACTCTCCACGCAGCGTCTTCGGTTTGGCTGGTTGTGAAAAAATGACGCTGGGGCTGGATAATGCCGTGAGAAAAATACAAAATTCCCACTTGCGCACATCGAGAGAGTATCGCACACAGAGTAACGCACGACTCGTACTAACTACCTGCTACGGACCACAGTAACTACACTCGAGATGAAGAAAATTATTAACAACGAATCAGCCATCAACGGACAATTTTATTATTTGGTAATTTCAGTCATTCAGAGAAATATAAATTACGTGCAAGTATTTTTACTATGGGTTATCTTGTTAGTGTACTGTTGGTTGCCTATATGTATATGCATAACCTCAAAAGTTAACTATGCGTAATTTCTTGTTATAACGTGGAAGCTACTCTGTGTAACGACTAAAAATATTTTAATTTCTAGCAATTATGAGCTAGAATATTTTTTAAAGACATGACATCGATGGTAACATTTGAAATATTGTTGTAATTATGATTATATACTTAAGCACGATTTTTCAGCTAATTTGTTGGGGTGCACGTTGCGTTACTAGAAAATCATTTAAACATAACACAAGTGAATACAACTGAGCGACGAGGAATTCATATTTAGACTTCAGGAAATATTTACCGGCATTTTTACAAGAGTAATTGAGTTTATAACCAGCACAACAAAAGAGTAAACGGTTACCTATTCTTGTAAAATCTCAATATTTCAGTATTTTTTGTTCCTCGATGTAACATAACCTCGCTATAACGTAATTTTTACTTTTAATGGTTATAAAGTTGCATAACTTAATCAAAATATATTTTATTTTGCTATAATGCACCTAACAAATATAAAATATACAATGTGCACATATTTTTCAACGAACTTGATGCCAAACGATTCGCGTTGTGACTCGTTAAAACGCGATAAATTCCAATTAAGAATCCGTAACATAAATTTCGTGCGCCTGACTGCGTCGATTTTAATGCGTGCGGAACACGTGTACTTGCGACTTCATATTAAAAAAATATTTACGCGTCCAGCTACGGCCGGGGTAACAAGATGATTAAATTTTATTCCAATTTTAATCCGTGCGAAATTTCGCAAGCGGAGAATCAAAACGATGTCGAAACGCGCTGCATTTAACTGGAACGAATACCTCTCAACCTGTGTGCATAAAGTTTTCGGCGTCGTTAGCTTGGCTTCGTATTTAACGACGCGCAACTTTATTTTTTTATTTTTTATTTTTCTTTTTGCATCGTGATGCGTGATCCGGTTCGCGGTGACTTCCTTACGCGGCGTCGCCAACTCGTAATTGTTAACTTCTTAACTTGTACGTACTTGTTACCTGAGATGAAGAAAAATCAGCTATCGAAATCACCATCTGTTCGATGTACGACATCCTGACATAAATGCGCTTTTATTTAATTAATTATTTTTTTCCAAGAATTTTCTATAAAAAAATCAAATTTTTTGTTTTGTTTTCTTTAGAAAACGTGATCAGTCATAAGTTTACACGATTATCTGAGCATTTCACACCGTAGTGATAACAATCGGTGTTAACGTTTGTAAGTGCCAGCGCCACTCGACAATCTGTCAATATTTGTCTGTTTCGAGGTGGTCCAGCCCTTAAACAGCAATAAAATCCATCAAATATCAGCTCCAGCGAGCGTGAAGTAAAGATAAAACAAAGATAACTCAGATAAAGTCATACAATCTAATGAAAACTTCGACGAATTCATTTTTAGACGTTTATTATGTTTGGTTACGTATAAAAAGTTGCCTACACAGGCACAACAGAAATGAGACATAATTTTAGACATAAATTTACGAGCACAAAATCAAACACACACTCTTAAACGAACAAAATAAACTCAATACGACACTATCTTCAACCCCTCAAAAACTCACATACCTACAACCCACGATAACACTCATTAACACAACACAAAAACTTACTTGACACTCAGAACACCCTAAAACACAAAATTTTAAATCAGTTTCGGCTTGATGCCCACAGGGCGAAACATGTAAAACTCATACAAAATTGTAAAATCCATATAAATCACAAAACAATTTAATAAATACATCTTGAAAACTTCGACGAATTCATTTTTAGACGTTTATTATGTTTGGTTACGTATAAAAAGTTGCCTACACAGACACAACAGAAATGAGACATAATTTTAGGTTATGTATGTCAGCGGGAGATGTCTACCGACTTAATTGAATACATAAAATAAATAAATTAGCAAATGATGATTTTTTTGCTTTTGATTTTGATTTGAGTTGAGTTTTGCTTCGCACGTGTTCTTGATCTTCAACTTGTCTGTAGCCAGTTTTTTTTTCTCTTCTGTCTTGTCTTCTTATGGAAGTGATGTGATGCTGGTATCAGTTGGGATAATAAAGAAGTGCTAAGAGCATCCGAGCCGCACCTCCAGCGCACGCATTGTGCCGGCCGTAAAAACTGAAAAGCGCTGACGCTCGCCAGTCGCGTGTGGGTGTTCCGATATTGCTCATGAATACCAAAAATGCGATTTGACCTGCAGATTGATTTCGGGGCCGATCCTAGTCGAAGCATAGCATCATTACAATGGGCACACGTTTTGAATTGTAAATTGCGTCATTTCACAAAGCTCGTATTGTGTTTTTGCTAATAATACAAAAGTCAAGTATTTATTTTTAGGTTAAACTAAAAAAACATAACCTACTAGCTTTAACCCACGGCTTCGCTCGCGAATATCTAAAATAATGAAGTTGCTTCCGTACGCGTCTGTAGTCACAGAAGAAGTAACAATGAAGTTGAATGGCGGGAAGTTTAAAATGGCTGAAAGTATAGTCTATGGAAGTATAGTGTACAGTCTCCATAGTGTAGTCAATTGGATTTGATGTTGACGTAGCTGTCGGTAATACAGTGTGATAATACAGTGTGATGGTACTATATAGTACTTGGGTTTGAGCTTCATTGCTGGAATGCTTAGATGGCGTTAAGTAGTCAAATGTAGATGCAGAGGTATTATTGGCTAAACAATTTCTTTATTTTATTTTAAAAATATATTTTTATTAAATAAAAAAGTAGCCTATAACCATTCAGGGACCCACTAAGAATATGTGTACAAATTTTTCATGATGATCGGTTAAAGTAGTTTTTTTGCGTGAAATTCTGCTTATTAAACATCAGGACTTTCCATTTATAATATTAGTAGAGTTTTTTTACCCCAGTGCTGGGGTTTTGAAACTATAAATTTCTAAATTCAACACGCAAGCCAATATGTAAATCAGAAACTAATTATATTACTGGCATGGAAACAATGCAAATCGCTTCTGGAAACCCAAACATCTCCATATCTTTTGTTTTATTCATTAAAACATAACCTAAACAAGTGGTACGCCGCCACATTCCAACTCTCAGATAATATTATAATTTGCTTAACCTTTGTGACTCCGTTTGTTTTGTTTTTTTAAGTTTTTTCTTTTTTATTTTTTTTTGTTTCGAGGTTTTGAATGCGACAACACAACTCTTTCACTACTCATTCGTTTGTTTTATTGCATGCGCTTGGAGTGATGTGTGTGCACTTTGTTTTATATTCGCTCCATTCCGGTTATATTGTTCGGCGCGAGCCATAGAAGGATATTCCACGAAAAACTCAAATGTAAATCGTTAAATTGTGACACACAGGCCAAATGCGTCGTCGCGCCGCTTGTCGTACAGCGCGCGCATTTATAACGCGCCGACGCTTTTATTACACCTCGGGCACAGGCAGAGGACTCTAGCATAGAGAGTTTTATAAGAATAATAACAACGAGTTGTTCTGAAAAGGGAAAAACTTGCTCGGCTTGCGCGCGGCAATGAAAAATAGAGTGGAATGCGTTTGAGCGGTTTGAGGTTTTGTCCTGAGCGTGATGCTGGCCGTAACAGTTAAATATCCGTTGTCAAGGCGGCCATCCTGCGACGGGCTTTTTACGAAGCGAATAAAACTGATTTATGCGCCGGCGCGTTCAGAACTAGATTGTCCGCCTGATTGTTCGCACTTTATATGTAGATTTCGTACAATGCTTTTATATTTATTACTTTTCTTGTCTAGCAGCCATCTTGTCAACTTATATTATATTACATTGTAATGTTGGTTGCATGTATAGACTAGTCATTTTATTAGGTTATAGCGATGTGTTGTTACATTGTTACATAGTTTTTAGTGAAAATTAACACGTTTTAAAATTATTTCATTAAAACTAAGTTTTTATGTATTTCTGCACAAGTTATGCAACTTTTTACCCACTAAAATTATAAATTACGATATAGCTAGGTTATGTTACATCAAGGAACAAAAAATAACCAAATATTGAGATTTTTCGCGGTTTGGTGTCTGTTTAATTTTTTGTCATTGGTTTCTAAAATCTCAAATTACCAGTAAAAATGCCGGTAAATATATTTCCCTTCTGTAGAAGTCTGTAAATACGAAACTTTGTCGCTCAGTCGAATTCACTTGTAAGCAGTGTTGTTCATTTCTAGTAAACGCAACGCGCACCCAAACAAATTAGCTGGAAAAATCGTGTGCTTAAGTTATAGAAATTTGTACTGCAATTTGTAGGGATGTTGGGACTACAATAACAACAATATTTCAAATGTTACCATCGATGTCATGTCATTGAAAAAAATATTCTAGCTCATAATTGCTAAAATTGAAAATATTTTTCGTCGTTCCACAGAGAAATTGTAACGCTATAACGAAGAAATTATTATAAAACCAACCAAGTTGTACATATTTCGCTTTTATACAGAGTGTGTCCTAAAATTGAATGTCGTTAAAACTTGTTTTCATTAGCTTAATTCATATTATGACGCATTTCATTTAGTGAAGTATTTAGATATTTTCTAAAAACATGTAAATTAATTGAATGCATGTTGGTCATCATCATAACTTGACTGAAAACAACCGGAAATAGCACAATTACACGCATTTAGAGGTTATTGATGCACGCTATTCTTAGTTTGATATAAATTGGACGTAACTTTGTACAAAATCGAATTGTACAACATGAAATACCTATTAGTTTTAGTTTTTCTTATCGCCGTCGTGGTGATACCTGACGAATTGTTGAAAAAAATATACGAAATACATTATTCAGTTGAACCCATTCGACAAGCTCTTTTGGATGCCAAGGCGGAAGGCGTACTTAAAGGCAAAAATTTAATGATATTATTGTAATCCCACAAATTACAAAATTGAACATTTTAATATTCAACATTTATATCAATTCTTGTCAACCGGAAACACATTTAATAATAATTTAAACCAAAACTGTTTTTGGGTATAAATACGCAGAGATTTTTTGAAAAAGTTATCAGTTCACTTCTGTCTTTTCAACTACAACAACAAAAAACAAAATTTTATCACGATGATGAAATACATGATGGTTTTTATTGTTGACGGTCATGTAAGTGGTAAGTGAAATGAATAATTTCGCCAAATTTTAAAATTTTAAAATTTTTTTTGTTAAAACACAGGCTGAGTATGTTTTCCGCCCAATCAAAGACGCAGTTCATCATGAACAGGAGTCCGACCAAACTCAATCATGAATGCGATAAAGGGAGGCGTAGGCAAAAAATAAAATTCTAGTCAAGACCTACATTACTTTACGCCACCGATTGAAATATGAAATAGAATTGATTTTGCAACTTATTGATTATTTATTTGTCTTTCATCTGCGCTATTTTAATCTAGTTGTTGTTCTGGAATGCGATTGTGTCTTGAGCAAGAAAACAATGAGTCGCTTTGTGCATGTGCACTATGTGCAGTCACTTCTTTATGCTCAACAAACTGCCGAGATTTATCGCGGCGTGTGCGCGCACGCGCGCCCGCATAATCCGGAAAACAAAACAGCAATCTCTAAGAAGCACTAAAATTCGCGTCGACTCATAACAACGCGCGCCGCCATTGTTCTATCAAAGTGCCGTACCCTTTTGTTTTACATTCATAACATTCATATTCTCATTCAATATATTATTGTGCACGAATCAACTTAATGTTTAAGTATTTTTAAGCTTTTGTTTCAAGTGTGGTTGTGTTCATTGTTGGTGGTACTAAGGTAGGCAACTGAATATACTTAAAAGAAGTATTATGGTATTAAAGTCGACGTTTGGTGAATTTATTCGTTCGTAATTCAAACGAGTCGAAGAAAAAACGATTTAATGTGCGCGTCCTCGAGGCTTTTGGCAATTTTTAACGGCAGGACACGCTACTACCTATTTTCGTTCGGGTACGCGGACCGAAAGCCCTTTGGGCATTCTGCATACCTGGACATTTTACATTTCGAGCGGGCCCTGTTGACGGTTAATGCCACTTGATGATGATGATGACTACCTATCAAAACATCACATTATTACAAACAACTGGACTGTCTATTCAAGGCAAAAACGTCATTTGCTGGCAATTCCAGTGAAAAAAATACTAAATTACGTTTTAATTAATAAAAAAATTTAAATTTTTATGATAAAATTATTGATTTTGTTTATATTTTTTTTAAATAAATCAAAATTAACTTAGCATAATGATTTTTACTTAACAGCATGATCAAAAATATAACAACATGGTCGATTCTCATGAATTGAAAGGTCGAAAAAGTGCTTCGCAATCCGCTGACGGTTTCGCAACCGCGTGTTGTGTTTTTTTTTTGCGGGCGAGATGCAATCACAATCACCTCTTTCGCGACGCGCCGCATTGCCCGCCATCTCATGCATAAGCAATGAGCGCCGGCGCGTAATTACGTCCATAATTCGCAATTTAAAGAGATTCGGCCGACCGTAAATTATAACCGAATAATTAATACCTTGCCACTCCGAAAAAATCGATTCATTCGGTATTCGATGCTCGTTTGTGGCCTAAAATGTCTTTTGAAATTCTTTAAACTACCAAAAATTTTCAGTTGAGGCTGTGTGGTGTTTGGTTTTGTGGGAGACATTTTTAATAAAATCAAGGGGGGTCTTGAATTTGGTTGTTTCCGACCGCATAATCATAATTCATAAGAGGTATTGTCGTAGTGGTGTATTGGAAAAGGGATTCCGGACAAACGGTGCTCGCACAGCATGATAGAAGCATCAAGAGAATAATAACAGTTGAAGGTAGTCGTAGTCTACTGAAGGAATAAAGAAATAGTTTTTTTTTTTGGGATTTTGGGAGGTTGTCTGCCCTGTGTCTACTTCTGAGATTATAAAAAAAATATTGTGGTTACTGGAATTGCTGTTTTTGATCAGTTGTGGATAAAACACCTTTAAAAAGCTATAAATAGGTACCCTTTGTACATTGATACGCAATGGAATGGTGGGTGTCCCACATCGTCATATGTGGATATCCTACCCCACCACTTTTGCGGGTAGTCCGCAGTTATAAAGAGGAGTTTGCATTGCGCAACGCGCTCAGTCATATTTAGATTGTCCAGTAATCCTGTCTTACCTCTTTATAATTTTTATTCGCCCTCTGTATATGCTCAAGTGGGGTAGGACGTTTTCTGGGAATGCCCATTCTCAATTTTTGTCTTTTTGTGCGTCCTGCAGTGTTATAAATCGTAAGACATGTTTAATATTGCGTCGTTACAACCGTTGAACATATGCAACCAACATGTCATCAAACATGAATGTTTATTTAGTTTAAACACTTTATTCAATTTTTATTTATAAATAATACTTAATATACCTCAATAGTATATTCTTGAAGTTGTAATAACAATTGCGATTGTCCTTACCGTAAAATATTTAAACTGATCTTAACATAACCTTCTATTTTCTGCATAGATTAACAAGTGCGCTCGGCATAAAATTAAATTTATTTGAAATTTTATCATTATAAATTGTTGTAAGTACTCTATATAATATTTTACAACGTTCATTAACAATTTTTTAATCTTTTACAGGCTGCAACACCCTGAAACAATGCCAAATCAAACATATCAAGAGGACTACTACCGCCCACAATGTCTTCAACAATCTCAGTCTATAAATCCCTTAAACCCAATAAATAACATAAATCCACCAGTGGCAGGACCAGCACAATGTGTCCAACCACAACAATACTCCTCAGTCACACCTTACCCCACACTAAGCAACAATTCCTATTACAATTCCCAATCAGTTTACAATCAACATCATGACTACTACCCGAAAACAATCCCACTTCCACAGAGTTCCCTTCCATATGACAAAGACTGGCTGCCTGATGCTCGTATAGTCAGTGATATAGAAAAAGGACTCAGATTACAGACAAAATAGAAACAATTGAAATAACCAGCAAAGATTTAAGTCCTGCAAGTTGCTGCAGTAATTTTGATCTTCTCCTACATGATTACTACAATAAAAATTACACTGAATTTCCATCATGTTCACAAGTTCAGAATGAACTACAACATCAACAACAACAGCAGAATATCAAACAAGTGAAATACTGCAGCATACAGAAACCTAACTATGAGTGTAATTATATCCTGAGCAATCCACAAACTGATTGCTTTCAGGATGTATTTCCATCTACACTCCCAGATCTCAACTTTGATCCGGTTGATGGAGGTTCAGATGATAGTGATATCATTGTAGAAGATTTAGATGATGATGACTATATAGAAGATCAGGATCCGTCAAATGATACAAGAAAATTCAATTGTTTATTGTGCAACGTGTCTTATTCACCGATCGGGAGTCAGTTCTATTATTTAACCGCGGAGAATCCTTTAACGATGTCTTCACAGAAGTCGGTTTCTGAAAAATTGAAAGGTATAGTTGGAAATTTTAATGAAAGTTATCTGTGTTGTCAATGTCTGGGGTTGATTAACACTATAGATCATTTAGAAATGAAACTACAAGGGTTAAAGGATGATTTAATCAAGAAATATGAGTCTAGTAACGGTGTAAAGGTAAAAATTGACAAAAAAACGAAAATGAAGTGTAATCATAAGTTAAAATGCAAAATATGTAAATGTAGTATTGGTTTAAAGAGTGTTTTTACGAATCACATGCGGAAACATCGATTAAGCAAGCGATTTTTATGCGATATATGTGGAAAACGTTTCACAAACGCTAAAAACTTCAAAATTCATATTAAAAATCATTCGGGAGATGTGAAAACGAAACTTATAAGCGGGTATTCTTGTTCCACATGTAAAAAAGTATTCAGAACGATGTCGAATTTAAAGGAACACGTGAATTATTGCTCAGGGAATTTGCCTTTCAAGTGTACAAAGTGTCATAAAAAGTTTCCATCAACTACGAAACTTAAAAATCACATTAAATTGAAACACGAAAAGAAATTTACTTCGATTTGTTCGATTTGTAACATTGGTTTCGTACAAATCAGTGATTATAAGCGGCATATGATCTCACACAGTACACATAAGAAGTTCAATTGTTCCCAATGTGATAAATCGTACAAAACATTGAGTAATCTCAACTTCCACATGAAGTTCCACGCCAAAAAGTTGCCTTTCCTTTGTGAGATATGCACAAAAGGTTTTATGCGTAAAGAGTATCTAGAATCACACATGGCGTCGCACACGGGTGAGAAAAACTTCTGTTGCACCATGTGTGATAAGAAGTTTGTGTCGCAGAAGAATCTCGACGCGCATTTGAAGTATCATAATGGAGGGATTAATAAAAAGTCGTGTAATATTTGCGGGAAGGTAATATCGAAGATTGCGCTTGAAGATCATTTAAGAACACATAGTAATTTGAAAGAGTTCAAGTGTGATGGGTGTGAGGAACGTTTCAATACGAAAAGTTCATTGCAGAAGCATAGGAAACGAAAACATGATTTGTAATGAATAAATGTTTTAATTAAGTTTAAATTTAATCAGTTTCCATTGATTCTTCATCTTCTGATGCTGAATCATCATTTGATGATTCTTCTTCATCGTCATCTGAATTATCTGGTGTTGCTAACCATTCAGATGATTTTACATCGTCTTGGATGATTGTATTCCATTCTTCTAGTTTTTTCAAATCGAGCGCATAGAAGTCTTGGAAAGTGATTTCTTTATCGCCATCTTCATACATTCCACCATATAGATAAAGCACACCATGTTTGATAGCTAATCCACAGTTTAATCTTGGTGAAGGTTGAAATATTTGATTAGTATTGTTAGTGGAAGCTGATGTTGATGTAGTGGCGGTTGGTGCAGGTCCTATTGTTACTTTAAACACTCCATCATCTGATATTGTGGTAGTTTCAACTTTTTTTGTAACTTCCTCATCTATATGATCTGCGCTGTCAGGGTTATCGTCATCGCTGTCATTCTGTTTCCTGCGTGGCTTGGTAACGTCCTGTTTTCCGCGTATATTTACACTACGCCAAACTAATTTCTCTAAATCAAGCATGTGCATATCGTTGTAGAACACCCCAGCGAGTTCTTCATCCTCATCAGTGGTATCGTATACACCTCCGAAGCAATACGATGTGTTGTTCGGTGCAGTTGTCAGTGGCATGCTGCAGCGAGGTGCGAAAGTAACGCCACCTAGCTTGGTCGTAACCCATTTGTACTTGGTTCCTGTCGTGTCATTCTCTGAAATCAAAGAAATAGTTAGAGAAATATCGTGATATATTATATTTAGAGGTGAGATTATTATTAATACGTACTATCAGGTTGTAGTATAAACGCATCAGTGTATACGTGGCCTTTATCAACGTCTTTTTTGATTTTCTCTTTACTATAACCTCCATAAATCAAAATGCGGCCATCTTGTAACGCGACCATACAACAACCACTTCTTGGCGCTGGTGCAGTACCTGTAGGTTCTAATTTTAACCATTTGTAACTTTCAGTGTTGAAAGTGTAGATATCATTGAAATATTTGTAATCTCTTGAGTTGTCATGAAACCCTCCAAAGACAAATATCTGTTTCTTGCTGTACACCATTCGATGGCCACTTCTTGCACTTGGGCCATTTGGTGTGGTGATTTTCTCCCATTTTTTGGCTGCGAGGTGATACAACCATAGATCTCTATAGTGATAGAATTGATTTTCACTTGGGCTAGTGTATTCTCCACCAAACACCCAAAGTTGTCCTTTGTTAGTGGAACTAGCTATCATTTGATGACCACATCTTGGTGGTGGACCCTTTGGTGCTTTAACAACAGTCCAAGTGTTGTTAGGAATGTTGTAGAAGTACAGATCATTGTAAACAAATGTTTTTTGGCCATTGTGGAACTCTCCACCATACAAAACCAACTCTTCTTTCTCAGGATGTGCTACAAATGAGAAGTTGATTCTTCTTGATGGTGGTTCGACGATGTGTTCAGTAACTTGTTGCCTTTTGTTTTCTTCATCTTCAATTTGTTTTAGTATGGTCTCAATGTCATCCTAGAGGTTATGAAGATAATGCGAGTTAGAAATCGGTTTTATAATGAAAGTATATAATGATTACCTCTCCAATTGCTTGTAATTGTTTCTTCTGTTTTGCCGATAACTTCTTTTCGGTTTTCTGTGCTGTTTTCTCTGCTCCTTTGCCTTTTTTCTTGTCTTTAGTTTTCTTACCCATGTTTTAAAAATTTCAACACGTGTTGTTCGGATGAAATTTGTGTTGCCTACCTTTGATTCACAACATAAAAGTTTTTTAAAAGTAAAATTTGTTTATAGTTAAAATTTAGATTTATTACAAAAACGTAGTTTATAATTACTTAAAATTAAATAAAAACAATAACAATAAAAGCGAGTATTGCACGACGTCCCGTATTTCAACATGATAACAACAAAATAAATAATTAAAACAATTATTAAGTGTAAAATAACAATAAAACAATAAACTAACAATAATTACTGAGTTAATTTGCTAACTAAGGCTAACTTGGGAAATAATAAATAGTTTTGGTTGAGATTATTGCACGTGATTTGAGCATTTCGAATATCTTCAATTAGAACTTCATCATCCGCCATTTTGTAATCAATGCTGCGTTGATTCACCACCATAAGTCACCTCCGCATGGTACCCGGAATCATCCACGTAGTATGATACAGTTTGCATCCTACCATCCGGCAACAAAGCATGATATTCCCCTTTGGTAGTCTCGCCATCTTTACTCTCCTTGTGTCCATAGTCATTGCCATGATCGTAGTCGCGAATGCGGTACCCAAACTCGTAATTCGCAGCATACTGCAACTGCGAATGAGAAATCATTGTTAATTGTTCAAACATGAATAGATATCCATTATAAGCAAAAAGTGCGGTGAAAGTAATTTCGGTAGCAGGAATGCCTCGTCCATCATCATGAGTGAGACATGAGTGTGACGTCGACGATTCAGTTTGTGCGCGGATTTATTTGACAGAGAAAGTACCTACATAGGGGGCCAGGCAGCGCGTTTCGTTCGGCGGCATTGTTGCGCGTCGCTATTTCCTTTTCGTATGATATTCTAATTTCATGAGCCTTGATCATATCTACGCGATGCAGACATCGGCAGTACCCGGTTGAACGCGACACGAGCATGATACCTCCGGTAGCGATTCATCTTGTCTACTTATCCGGCCATTTTGTTTAACAAAACATTCATATTTTTAAATATTGATTGTTTTGATAATGGTTCGGTAAAGTAAACAAACAGAATCATCTCGTAACTCATAAATATTTAATACCATGTACAACATGTAATCTGACATAAAACTTAACCTATTTTAATGTATATGCAACTTGTGTAGCAATTTGTTGATATTCCTCTGAATAATCTTTAATTTGTGTTTACTTAAAGGTCTTCGTTGGTATTTATGTTTTGGGTGGTGTTTAGGTCGATGAGATCTGAACTTTGATCGATGACCATGACCATGACCATGGGGGTGACCATAATGTGCATGGTTATGATCATTATTTGAGTTGTTAATGATTATCACCGGTTGTTTTGATTCATTTGGCGAATTATGTGAGTGATGTGAATATTCGCGACCGAGATCGGAAAGTACGCTTTCCCAATGTTGTTTTTTATGCCCATCATGGTCATCATGATGATAATATTCATCATCATCATGATTGTGATAGTGCGCGTGATCATAGTGATGGTAACCGTGTTTATGATGATGTCCGCGACCACGATTGTGATTGTGATGTCGATGCACGAAAAACTTGCGTTCATTTGGGTGGAAAACCACGAAATCGTCGTCAATCCGCGAGATTAATTTCTGGGTCGACATAGACATATCCGGAATTGTGGTGTTATCACCATCAAGTGATACTACCTCATATGGTTTGTGATTGTGATTGTTATTAATACCGCGATTATTAGTTTCCGGTGGTTTTATTATAAGTTTTGTACTGAGATAAATTTTTTTCGTGCTGTTGAAGTGATCAACTGCATCTTGCATGTCTTTATAGTCTTGGTAATCATAATTTTTTGTATTGTTAGAAATTGTATCTTTATCGTTATCGTCGTAATCTTCGTAAAAATACATAACCGTAGCGCTTTCAGCGTCATCTATGTGTGTTTTGTGTAGTGTTTCACGTTTTTGTCGGATAGATGGCGTGGTTATACTTACTTCCTGTTCGCCATGAGCGTTTTTTGTGTGGCCTATCACGGTGAATTGCGGAGGGATGTAGAACTTGTCCACTTCGGCGTTGTCTTCATGCGTGTTGTACTTTGGTTTGGGTTCATAGCTAGGTGTTTTTGCTGAAGCTGCCTGGAGGTGGTGTACTGGTGCATGATGGACTGGTGCTGCCACCGCTTGTGGGAATAATTGCACAGGGGTAAATTGTGCATGGGGTTGCGCATGCGTTGTAAAGTAATGGTTTTGCGTCTCTGAAGCTTCGACATTCTGGTACTTTTTGTGTTTTTGACTGTTTTTAGCTCGGGTATTTTGCGCAACGGAATGTACATCATCTTTTTGTTCTTCTTTATTCTTCTGTTCTTGTTCTTGTTTGTGTTTGTAAGCTAAAGCAGCGATTCTTGCCCTTTCCCGTGCTTGTTCCTGTTGACGGCGTCTTTCAGCAGCTTTTCTTTTTTCTTCCTTTTCTTTTTGTTTTGCTTCCTCGGTGCGTTGTTCTTCAGCTTCTTGTTCTGCCTGCGCATGTGCTCTAGCTAATGCTTCATTCTGTACTTTGATTTGTTCAAGAGCTACATGTTCAGCTTGTTTCTGCGCACGCGCGATAGCTTCATGTTGTGCTTTCACATGCTCCAGCGCTTTCTTCTGCGCTTGCGCGATTATATTCTCCGCATGCGCGCTGGCAGTCGCATCCAATTGCGCTTGTAATGATTTTAAAGCATCAGGACCATTTCCGTGTTTGTTCAACGATTGCAGAGCTTGATTCACTACGTGATTGTTTTGTGCTTGACTTTGATGAGACAGATTGATATTTTGTTTCTTTTGATTATTGGGGATGTCAAAGTAATCTTCTTTAATAGGAGTATGATCCTTGTAGTAACCACCTTGATTTTGGTGTTGGTGTTGACCATGTTGTCTTTCATTCAACAACTGTTGTAAGCCATGAAGTTGATTCTCAGGAGTTTGACCAAGCAGGGAACTCAAAGCTGTGAGTTGATCTCCACCTGAAGGAGCAATGGAAAACCCTCCCAAATTCTGGGAGAGAACTTTTGGTCCACGATCTACGTAATTAATGTAACTGGAGTCATCCTGGCGACTTCCAGCGGGTTCATCTTCTTCATTGACCAAATAACTATTTGGTTTAAGGCTTTTTTTAGCGATCTTTTTTGGAACTCGGTTTTGAGGTGATTCTTTTTCTATATCTTCAAGACCCAAACGTGATGGGATGGATGTTACCGTTCCAGATGTTGAAGATAAAGTTGAACTCAATGTAGACGTAAAGGTTTGTTAATTTCCGTTGGAGAATTCAGAGGATTTTGATTGTCTTGGTTTTGTATCTAATTGTTGTTGTTGTTGATAACGCACTCGTTGTGGATCAAACTGATTCCCTTTCTGCACCTTTTGATACTCTTGATAATTGAACCCAGGAGGTTTCTCATATTTATCTTGTGTTTGTTTTGGGGAATTGTTTTCGTAAACTTCCGGAATGTGTGCAGCATGTGCAAATAAAGCAACACAACATGTTAACACCTAAAAGTAATTAAAAATTAGTAATTATAATCTAATTAGATTTTAATTATCTTATTATTAACTTACAATAATTGAATAATCCATTGTTTGTATGTGGGTGTTAAATTTTCTAAGTTTTAAAAATGTTGCGCACTTTTTTGTTGCACTGTTAACATTGACACTGTTAACAAGTCACTTTCTTCGCCGAACGCGGCGAGTCGAATGTTGGCCATCCGGGGACAAACAGGGAGTTTTATAGCGTCGCCGTCCTGTTCGCCATGAGCGTTTTTCGTGTGGCCTATCACTGTGAATTGCGGGGGGATGTAGAATTTGTCCACTTCGGCGTTGTCTTCATGTGCGTTGTACTTTGGTTTGTGTTCGTACGTAGGCGTTTTTGCTGAAGCAGCCTGAAGATGGTGGACTGGTGCATGATGGACTGGTGCTGCCACCGCTTGTGGAAATAATTGCACTGGAGTAAATTGTGCATGGGGTTGCGCATGCGTTGTAAAGTAATGATTTTGTGTCTCTGAAGCTTCTACATTTTGGTACTTCTTGTGTTTTTGACTGTTTTTTGCTCTGGTATTCTGCGCAACGGAATGTGCATCATCTTTTTGTTCTTCTTTATTTTTCTGTTCTTGTTCTTGTTTGTGTTTGTAAGCTAAAGCTGCGATTCTTGCCCTTTCACGTGCTTGTTCCTGTTGTCTACGTCTTTCAGCTGCTTTTCTTTTTTCTTCCTTTTCCTTTTGTTTTGCTTCCTCAGCACGTTGTTCCTCAGCTTCTTGTTCTGCCTGCGCATGCGCTCTAGCCAAAGCTTCATTTTGCACCTTAATTTGTTCCAATGCTACGTGTTCTGCTTGTTTCTGCGCACGCGCGATAGCTTCATGTTGTGCTTTGACATGCTCCAACGCTTTCTTCTGCGCTTGCGCGATTATATTCTCCGCATGCGCGCTTGCAGTCGCATCCAATTGCGCTTGTAATGACTTCAAAGCATCAGGACCATTTCCATGTTTGTTCAACGATTGCAGAGCTTGATTCACCACGTGATTGTTATGAGCTTGACTTTGATGAGACAGATTGATATTTTGTTTCTTTTGAGTATTTGGGATATCAAAGTAATCTTCTTTGATCGGAGTATGGTCCTTGTAGTAACCTCCTTGATGTTGGTGTTGACCATGTTGTCTTTCATTCAACAACTGTTGTAAACCATGTAGTTGATTCTCAGGAGTTTGACCAAGCAGGGAACTCAAAGCTGTGAGTTGATCTCCACCTGAAGGAGCAATGGAAAACCCTCCCAAATTCTGGGACAAGACTTTAGGTCCACGATCTACATAATTAATGTAACTGGAGTCATCTTGGCGACTTCCAGCGGGTTCATCTTCTTCATTAACCAAATAACTATTTGGTTTAAGACTTTTCTTCGCAATTTTTTTCGGAACTCGGGTTTGGGGTGATTCTGTTTCAATATCATCAAGACCCAAACGTGATGGGATGGATGTTACCGTTCCAGATGTTGAAGATAAAGTTGAACTTAATGTAGACGTGAAAGGTTTGCTGATTTCCGTTGAGAATTCAGAAGATTTTGCTTGTCTTGGTTTTGTGTCGAGTTGTTGTTGTTGCTGGTAACGTACTCGTTGTGGATCAAACTGATTTCCTTTCTGAACCTTCTGATACTCTTGGTAATTGAATCCAGGAGGTTTCTCGTATTTATCTTGTGTTTGTTTCGGGGAATTGTTTTCGTAAACTTCCGGTATATGTGCTGCATGTGCAAATATAGCAACACAACATGTTAACACCTAAAAATAATTAAAAATTAGTAATTATAATCTAATTAGATATTAATTATCTTATTATTAACTTACAATAATTGAATAATCCATTTTTTGTATGTGGGTGTTAATTTTCTAAGTTTTAAAAATTTTGCGCACTTTTTTGTTGCACTGTTAACATTGACACTGTTAACAAGTCACTTTCTTCGCCGAACGCGGCGAGTCGAATGTTGGCCATCCGGGGACAAACAGGGAGTTTTATAGCGTCGCCGGAGGGGCCCACGTCTCTTTCTCTTTCTCGCCGAGGAAGACACCGAGGCGAAGAAAGCACCGGAGCTGTGTATATTTGGATTAGCATAACATATGCGCCATGTGTCTGCTGATGTTCAGGTGAATTTCTCTATGTTGTGGTTCGATAGTAGGTCGCATAATGTGTTCGAACCACCGGAGCGCCCAAAGCACATCAATACCTTGGCGCGTTTATCGCCAAAAAATTTTTCACGCTCGTGCTCGTGCATCGAACAATTACCGAGCCAATCACATTCATAGATTTTTGATGTTAATTGCTCTATTCCACTTGTGTTGTGTTCATTCATTACAATGGACATGTTTCGATTGTTTCGCGGTTTGTTAAAGCGCATCGAATCAACGAAAGTGATTTGATTATGATCTGAATTTAATTTGGCGCATTTCAGGTATTTTTAGCTGCATTTACTTAGGATTTTCTTCATGGTGTTAGAAAAAGTTATGTCATTTTGTCACGCTTGACGCTTCTTCGATCTTCGGTCGATGGATGCGCGTGTTTAGAAAGGATCGCACATTATGTAAAGCGCGCACGCGAAGATAAGCCGAGTTAATGTAAGTAAACATAAATCAAAAAAATAAATTGGAGTGAAACCGAAATACCGGAAACTACTAAGTACACATGTAAAATCATCTCGTTAAATTATGTTTTTTGAGAGTAATTTAAAAGATTATGTATGAGATTTTACTTTTGCGCATCTCCAAAGTATGACTTTCAAAAAATATTTAATTTTTGTTTGATATTTACGTACTTTAAAACTAAAAACAAAGAAATTGATTTAATAACCAGGAATTTAGGTTTTCTATTTGAATAAACCACAGTGAGTCAAACAATCCAAGTGAAAATCTATCAAAATTTAGGCCTTTGTAACAACAAAGTGCCTTAAGTCATTATTTCTTTCTTCCTCTCGATTCTAAATTGAATTCACCGCTAATGCGATGGTGCTTCTTTAATTATGGTGCAATTAACCGCAAATTTGTATAAATAAATGATCCACATTACGCACCACAGATGAATGCTCATTGAAAACTATACAGGGTATTCATATTTTACTTTTTGCTTACAAGTAAATATTCTCACACGTTAGAGAATAACAGAACATTCATTGAATGTGAAGAGTGAAAATTTATTTATAACAATAAAACCGAATAAAAAATGAATCAGTCCGATTGAAATACTAACTGACTGACACGTTTCTGTATGGTTAATTCGTTTTTTTCTTTCTTTGGTCATTGCGGTAGAACTAGTTTAACTTTCATTATCATTAATCTCGTTATAATGTCACACATTTGTTTTTGTTTGAATTTTAAACGGATATTACTGAAATATAACATGGGAAATAATATCACGTAAGTTCCTGTTTAAAATAAAAAATAGAGAATATATTTTAATTAAATCTAAACGCACTGTATGTTAGTGAAATTTATAAATTTATTTCACAAGATTTTACTTTCAATATTCAATAATATCACAATTTTGTACATTTTTGTGTTGACGGTCATCACATCTAAGATTTTCTTGTCTTTCAGTTTGATTTATGACTAAGATAAAATATTTTTTGCTTTCGTCAACTTTGTATCCAAGATGCTTCATTTTCTGCACGCGTGGAATGCACATTTGTTATTTTCGTGAAAGCGTTTTGTAGACGCCTGTATTCACGAATCATGTGACTCATTTCATTTAATTAATTTCATTCTTCCATCGGGGGTTTTTATGTCTTTCTAATTTAAATGGTGAATTGGTTCAATTAATTTCGTGTTTAATAATGTGTGTTTTTGCAAGTTATTCGCGGTGTTTTTACCTAATTCAATTTGTAATTAAATTCTATTCAAAATTCATAATTTGTTGACGGCTTTCTTTTATAAACTTCTAAATACTACTAAAAATTGACGATGCGGATAATGAACAATTAGCATTTATGTTCTATGTGAAAACTAATTTATTAATTTTGGTGCTTTTGGCTTAATTAACATTTTTGTTCAACGCGTGTGTGTAATATCGTGTAATAAATATGATTTCGTCTTGCGTCTGTTGCTGGCAGTGAAAGTGAAGCGATATTTTTTTTCGTTTTACGAGCGCGAGTTCAAGTTCTTGTTTGTTTCTCGCCGCCTGTTTCCCGTCTGATTGGTATTACTGACTGCTCCTTCCCGCCGATCGAGTTTGAATCGTATGTGAGTAAATTGCTTGCGATAATTGCAGTTTCCTAGACATTTTTTTTCCGGCGCTGGTTTTATTTCAATTACACAATTACGGGCGCCATTCAATTCAAATTGCTGATTTAATTGACGCCTTGAGCGATTCTTTATCGTCGAGGAAATGAGATTGTATGGGGTAATTATTTCGTGTTCATGTTTAGGTGGTTGGTTGGCCCTCAATATAATAAGTTGAATTGTCACATAGCTGGTATGTCAACATTTGAATTTGTTTTGTTTTGTTAGTTGATGTTTTTGTCAACAATAGTAACAGCGCCGTGTGTTGCACATAGTTGCCATCCAATGCAAACATGTTTCAGTCTTATCACCGGTTGGTTCGCGATCGTATCGCGTTATTCGCCTGGTGTTTCGGGTTTTTAATTCGGTGAAACGTATTATAATTGCGTGGTGGTTCAAATTGAAGAAATTTGGCTGTATCTCGGGAACTGTTCGTGCGATTTGAATGATTCTTTTAAATTGAGATAGTGCGATCTTGGCACCCCGCAAATTAGGCCAGAAGTACCTTAAAATCGCTCTTAAACTTTGTCGATTTTTATTCTATGGCCTTTGCAATACAAAGAATTGTAAATTTAATGTATGTTATGTTATGGGCCGATTCTGTTCTGCCATATTGTAATTCTGTTAAATGTTACTTGCCACACTGAAAACACATTCGTTGCAGTGAATATCGTCCTGATAAGTTTGTTTATCAAATGTAGATTGTTGTTTTGCGTTGACTGTTTAGATTTTTAAGTGCCGCGTAAACAAAAATACAAAACATTTCATTACTCATTGCTAATTGCATGTTTTTAGATGTTGCAATTAACATTTAACATTAACTGTAACATGGCAGAACAAAATCGACTCTTAGATTTGCATTTTACAAGTCGGAACTCATTGAAAATGCGCAAAATATTGTTGCAGTTTGTAGATGTTGCTTGGGTACTTAAGTATATACTAGTACTATTAGTATATAGTAGTATTTTTTTATGTATACCTTCTGAATATTGTGTCAACCAATTAAGGCTTAGTTAACACACACGTAGAGTGTAAAACGTACTTTACACTTTATCACGGTAATATGTTAGTAAACTTCTACCGAGCTGTATAAATTGAACGAGGACTCGCAAGCGGGCCATTTTCACTTCAAATTGTAAGAATTTAATTCTGTATCATCCCTATGTCCTAGTTTTGCAATTTTCTCACGGGAAAGCTATAAAAATTGCATTTTTGTATTTTGAGACACTGATTTTTCTTGTTTTAGGGCTGTGGAAAGTGAACGGGAACTCGCAGGCGGGCCATATTTACATCAGATAGTAAGTATTGTAATTCTGCATCATCTCTATAACCTAGTTATGCAATTTTCTCACGGGAAAGCCATAAAAATTGCATTTTTGTATTTCGATACATTGATTTTTCTTGTTTTAGGGCTGTAGAAATTGAACGGAAACTCGCAGGCGGGCCATTTTTACATCAGATTGTAAGTATTGTAATTCTGTATCATCCCTATGTCCTAGTTTTGCAATTTTCTCACGGGAAAGCCATAAAAATTGCATTTTTGTATTTCGAGACACTGATTTTTCTTGTTTTAGGGCTGTAGAAATTGAACGGAAACTTGCAGGCGGGCCATTTTCACTGCATCATCTCTATAATTGTAAAAGCTATTGTAATTCTGTTCTATCATCGCAGGCGGGCCATCTATTGTAAGTATTGTAATTCCTAGTTAGTGCAATTTTCTCACGGGAAAGCCATAAAAATTGCATTTTTGTATTTCGAGACACTGATTTTTCTTGTTTTAGGGCTGTAGAAATTGAACGGAAACTCGCAGGCGGGCCATATTTACATCAGATTGTAAGTATTGTAATTCTGCATCATCTCTATAACCTATTATTATAATTCTGCATCATCTCTATAACCTAGTTAGGCAATTTTCTCACGGGAAAGCCGTAAAAATTGCATTTTTGTATTTCGAGACACTGATTTTTCTTGTTTTAGGGCTGTAGAAATTGAACGGAAACTCGCAGGCGGGCCATATTTACATCAGATTGTAAGTATTGTAATTCTGCATCATCTCTATAACCTAGTTATGCAATTTTCTCACGGGAAAGCCATAAAATTGCATTTTTGTATTTCGAGACACTGATTTTTCTTGTTTTAGGGCTGTAGAAATTGAACGGAAACTCGCAGGCGGGCCATATTTACATCAGATTGTAAGTATTGTAATTCTGCATCATCTCTATAACCTAGTTATGCAATTTTCTCACGGGAAAGCCATAAAAATTGCATTTTTGTATTTCGAGACACTGATTTTTCTTGTTTTAGGGCTGTAGAAATTGAACGGAAACTCGCAGGCGGGCCATATTTACATCAGATTGTAAGTATTGTAATTCTGCATCATCTCTATAACCTAGTTATGCAATTTTCTCACGGGAAAGCCATAAAAATTGCATTTTTGTATTTCGAGACACTGATTTTTCTTGTTTTTGGGGCTGTAGAAATTGAACCTTGGAAACTTCTGGGCAGGCCATATTTACATCAGATTATGATATTATAATTCTGCATCATCTCTATGAAAACTAGTTATGCAATTTTCTCACGGGAGAAGCCATAAAATTGCATTTTTGTATTTCAGAGACTCTGATTTTTCTTGTTTTGGGGGCTGTAGAATTGAACGGAAACGCACCAGGCAGACCCATATTTACATCAGATTGTAAGTATTGTAATTCTGCATCATCTCTATAACCCTAGTTATGCAATTTTCTCACGGAAAGCCATAAAAATTGCATTTTGTATTTCGAGACACTGATTTTTCTTGTTTTGGGGCTGTAGAAATTGAACGGAAACTCACCAGGCGGGCCATATTTACGGCATCAGATTGTAGGTATTATAATTCTGCATCATCTCTATAACCTAGTTATGCAATTTTCTCACGGAAAATACATAAAAATTGCATTTTGTATTTCGAGACTCTGATTTTTTCTTGTTTTAGGGTATGAGAATTGAACGGAAACCTTGCAGGCGGGCCATATTTACATCAGATTGTAAGTATTGTAATTCTGCATCATCTCTATAACCTAGTTATGCAATTTTCTCACGGAAAAGCCATAAAAATTGCACATTTTGTATTTCGAGACAGTTTTTTCTTGTTTTGGGGTACTGTCTGTATCTTGGTTTATTTTTTTCAAATTGTGTAGTAATGGGTTCCAGTTCTATTATTTATACCACGATTTTTTTAAGTTTCAGGAGAATTTTTTAAAACAGACAATAAATAAGGTAAATCATATTTGAAGAAAATATTCAATGAAATAATATTTTTGTTATGTTTTATGATCTTACTTATGTGACACGACGGGCCAACAAACTCGACACAGAGCGATATGACGCACTTGAGGTGGGTCAGAATGATTATTGCTACTCTGGTTGCTTAGTTCACCTTGTGGTCTCACGTGTACGTTTTATTTTTTGCGAATGTTTACTTATATGTAATTCTAAAAGTTATTAATAAAACACTTATTACATTTATAATCACTTATTCACATTTCTATTTGGTACCCTCTTGCGCCGTTTTCAGTATTAAATAGTGGCATACAAAACTTAAGTGCGTGGCGCAGGAATAACATAACTGTTGCTTGAATTGTGTTGTTGTTTTTAAAAACATGATAAAATAGAAACATAAATAGAAGAATCAAATAACAATAATAAAAACACTCGGTGGTCAGTGGGACGATGCACCTACGGCATGCTGGCAGACACGGATCGAATCCCAGGTATAGAAGGCATTTTTTCTCAAATATAAAAATATCAGGTGAAATTTAGGTTGCATATATGAATTGCAACGAAATATAAGAAATTGAAATACAAGTGGAGGCAAAATGAAGAAGTAAGAGTAAATGGAGAACAGGGAGAACACCAGAGAAATAGAAGAATGAGAGTAGTAGAGAATAGGAGAAGATAGAAGAGAACAACAGAGCAGTAGAGTAGAGAAGAGGGAGGAAATAGAAGAGAACAGGGGAGGATCAGATTTTAAATTTTAGCACGTGTGTCGTTATAAGACAGTCTACGGTCGATCTCCCAGAGCGCCTCCGGCGCTCTGGTCGATCTCCTGCTTCGATTCTTCCATCGCTCCAGCCCATCCTACAGCTACGATGTCTCTGCACTTCATCCCCGAAATTATCAAGGCATATCAACAGAATTTTTATGGTGGGGATCACTACAGAGAGAGGAACTCATATAAGGGACACATCCTTTTTAAGGAACTTGTAAAATATTTCTATTTTTAAATTCCGCCTCAAGAGAGAGGGACACTTAAAATATTCTTACAAGTTCTGACCTGTAGCTGAAATGAAGATGGAGTACACAAATCATACAGGATACCTTAGCAATTTTTATGGGGATCAGCCAGGAGAACTCTCTCTTAGAAACCTCTACCTGTGATGATAGAAGGCGAACACATAAATGAAAGTAGTCAATATATCTTACTATTTTCTTTGTGCTGTATAATACAAGTTTTGATTTCAAGTCCAACTTGGAATTCGTGCCGCCATATTGGAACAAGGACTTGACCTTCCTAGCCGCGCACATCTAACGCCAGCTAAAATGCTTAGCAAAAATTACCACTTCATAAAGGTAAGTGGGATAAACAAATTAGCAAATAGCCATTTACTACGTCAGTGGAAACAAATATACAGGGTGTTACAAAATGAAATTTAAAATTTGGAAACAAGAAAAACATTTAAGCACAACAAATATCGCTTTGGTTTTTTCACCTTTAATGTCTGGAAAACTAATATACAGGGTGTTACAAAAATTATAATATTTAAGAAACAGAGAACTCAAACTACAAGAGGCTGTACCTTGGGACCATTTCACTTTGTAACACAATGGAAAACTAATGTACAGGGTGTTAGAAAAGATAATTATTATTATAGTTGAACAGAAAATGTACAGTACAAACTTGAAAACACAGATCTTGATGACTTTTTGAAAAGCACCACGGGAAACTAATATACTGGGTGTTACTGAAAGAAAATCAAAAGTTCAAGGAGGAAGACAAAAGAAACATTACTTTTTATCAGTTTTTCACAGAAGCACCAGGAAAATTTATATACAGAGGGTAGATCAAAGAGGGAAAAACCTTAATATTTAAATGCAGAACAACGGCTAAAAAACAATACAAGGATAATGCAAGATGATGAGAAAACATTTACATTTTTAAAACGAATTTCTACCGAAAAAACATTACAAAAACAGACCAATTAAGATGAAATCATTTTCCCTCTGGATAATAGAAAAAGTAGATGGTTAAATGATATAAAAAATCAAATACTTATTTTATTGTACAAGTAAATCGGTGAGCGAGCAGCACCGTTACAAGTCGTATGTTGCAGCGAGGCACGGGAAACACACATCCGACGGCGCGACAAACTTCAAGCAATTAATGTGTTAAACGGAATGAAAAACTTACCAATTTTATAGAGCGTCTATAAATCGATTTACCAAATTAAATAATATGAATATAGGATACAGCCAACATACGAGTATGAGATATAAACAACTTACGTACTCGTACATTTGCATCCTGTATGAAGCGAGTAAGCAATACGACGGCAGACGACAATCTTGAACAACGAGTAGTGTAATGTGTAAATAAAAACACGATAAAAGCAAAATTAATACAACAATCTATCAAATCAATTTTAAATGTAAATGTAAAACTGTATAAACAAAATACAAATTGTGGTGGTCTATGATTAGAATAATACATTGTGATATATATTTGAAGTAAAGAAAACATTTATTTTTGTAGTTAAAATCAGGCGTTTGTAAAGTGTTTTAAAGCAGAAATTAATCAAAAATCTTTACAAAAAATATGAGAAAACATACCTTGATGTAAAATAGAAATTTTCCCTTTTGAGTATCAATACTTATAGGCATGTGAGTACACACATTACAGCCAAACACGCGTTAATACTAGAGTACGAAACTGATTAAATTCAAAATGTAGTTGATAACGACTTTCATTAAATGAATATAATCGAAGAGTATCAAACGGCCGACAGTACTCGTACATCATTCACACATAATCTTTGCAAATATACTACCCGCGTTTAACAAACTGCCACGCACATGCCCTCTCGTGTGCAGTCGAACAAATCAATTACAGATCAATTGGGAAGATTACATATATCGCGAAGAGAAATTAAGAAAGTGAAAGGTTCGCAGAAACTCACGGTTCACTGGACGATCAAAATTAGACTAACGTTTGCAACTCGACCGCATGTGTGCCGAGAATGTGGCGAGCAGCACACAAGTTGAAGATAACAAAAACTTGTTTGTTTATAAACACAAGATAGTAACAGTGTAGGATACTTTAGAACAATTCTACATAGTATGCATTGAATATTTACGTATATTATAAGGAACACTTAGACTGCCGCAGGAATTCATCACGACCGTAATACGACTAAAATAGTTACTCTACGCGATAAAAGAAATGCAAATATCAACACAATAAATAATAGATAATATAACTCGCGTAAAAATTTTATCAATAGAATTTCGATACAGGAGATACATATTTAAATTTGCATCCCTAATAAAATTATTCGGCCGGACTTAGAATTAGACCGCGTTCACGTGTTATAACAAAAATACTACATACCCTAGCGCAACGCGGAGTACAAGTGCGTATACACACAACTATCAATATAGCTTTCGCGTAAAAAAATTTTCTAGCAATAAATTTCAATACAGGGGAGATACAATTTAAATTCCGCATCTAATAAAAATTATTCCGGACTTAGAATTAGACCGCGTTCGTAATATTTATAACACAAAAGCTGCAATTCCTAGCACAACGAGTACAAGTGCGTATACACACAACTATCAATATAACTCGCGTAAAAATTTTTTGAGAGCATTATAGTTCGATACAGGGAGATACAGATTTAAATTCCGCATCCTAATAAAATTATTCCGGACTTAGAATTAGACCGCGTTCATGTGTTATAACACAGAAACTACAATTCCTAGCGCAACGAAAGGTACAAATTTGCGTATACACACAACTATCAATATAACTCGCGTAAAAAGAATTTTTCCTAGCAATAAATTTCGATACAGGGGAGATACAGATTAAAATTTTGCATCTAATAAAATTATTCCGGACTTAGAATTGGGCCACGCGTTCATGTTATAACAAGGAATGCACTACATACCCTAGCGCAACGAGTACAAGTGCGTATACACGCAACCTATCAATACCAACTCGCGTAAAAAATTGTCTAGCAATAGAATTTCGATACAGGGAGATACAGATTAAAATTTTGCATCCCTGTAAAATTATTCCGGACTTGCCAGAATTAGACCGCGTTCACATGTGCGGCAAGAATACTGCATACCTAACTTTAGCAGGTACAAGTGCGTATACACTATCTCTCTCAATAACTCGCG